AATCTCTCTCCAGCGTATTTATATAACTAACCGAATATCCTATCTAGTATCACCAAACTTCATTCAGCAATATTTTCTAATGAATATATCATTTTCAGGAGTTGGTTTGTAAGGATTAGATATGTTTTTACGAGTTTGACCACGGATTGATATCAGTTAGAGAACCATTAAAAAACAGCATGAAGTACTGGGCAGCTGTTTCATCCTAGTTTCGGAATCACCGGCAGTACGCACCCACCCCACAGGGGGTTCGAACCCAGGACCTTTCGGTTACAAGGCAAGCTAGCTTTTAGACCTTGGCCCCTGTAAAATGTAAGATGCTGCTACAGGACTGGACTACGTCTACCCCTAGCTTAGTGATAGGGAGTGAAGTGATAGAACATGTTGACCACTTCACCTATTTGGGAAGTTGTATCAGCACCAACGGATTGATTGGTGACGAAATCTCAGCATGGATCCAAAACGCTCGAGCTGCTTTCGCTAACTTACACCATCTCTGGCGTAGGCGTGACATCGGGCTATCAACCAAGGGACGTGTGTACTGCTCATCAGTTCGCTCCGTCCTTCTCTATGGTTCTAAAACATGGCCAATACGAGTTGAAGACATGAAAAGGTTGACTGTTTTTGATCATAGATGTCTACGATCTCTTTCTCACGTTAGGTGGCATAATAAGGTAAGTAATGTTGACGTTAGGCGTAGAGTGTTGGGCAAAGAGGGAGAATCAATCGAAGAGACTATAAAGTTACATAGATTGAGATGGCTAGGTCACGTGCTGCGCATGCCTAACCATCGCCTCCCCAGACGGACGGTTATTACTAGCTGATATAAGTGCAGGTTGGAAAAGAGTAAGTGGTGGCCAAACAAAAACATGGCCTCATCAATCCATGGAATGCCTGACAGTTAAACTGAGTCAGGTAGGGAGATGCAGACTTCCGGGTTGGGGCCCTCGGGACTCTAAGAATCAATGGCTGGAGACAATAGGCAACATGGCTGAAAATCGTTGTGAATGGCGCAGATGTATTCAGTCTCTTTAATCTTTCATATTCCTTTCTACCATTACTCATTCTGTTTCACTCTTATACTTGTCAAAACTGTATTGATTCTCTTCACTCATTTTCTTGTCTATCTTTGTGTGCTATTTGGAACGTGGCAACTCGAACTGCTGCACTTCGGTGCCAAGTTCTATGTTGAATCCAGCCAGCCAGCCATTAACCCTTACCTTTTGTCTTTTATCCATTAAGTAGTCGCTAAACCAGATGTTGTCGTTCGCTATTTCACTTCTGTGAGGAACACCTTCACCACGTCAAGACAGTAATCACGACTTAACTTGTGGAGAGGCTATGAACGTGTGTGTGGCTACATGGGAACTTCTCGAGGTGGGAACCGAAGCCTACTCACCCTCGGCCGTACTATGTCATTTATGAGGGCAAACATAACCTTAATCTCTCTCCAGCGTATTTATATAACTAACCAAATATCCTATCTAGTATCACCAAACTTCATTCAGCAATATTTTCTAATGAATATATCATTTTCAGGAGTTGGTTTGTAAGGATTAGATATGTTTTTACGAGTTTGACCACGGATTGATATCAGTTAGAGAACCATTAAAAAACAGCATGAAGTACTGGGCAGCTGTTTCATCCTAGTTTCGGAATCACCGGCAGTACGCACCCACCCCACAGGGGGTTCGAACCCAGGACCTTTCGGTTACAAGGCAAGCTAGCTTTTAGACCTTGGCCCCTGTAAAATGTAAGATGCTGCTACAGGACTGGACTACGTCTACCCCTAGCTTAGTGATAGGGAGTGAAGTGATAGAACATGTTGACCACTTCACCTATTTGGGAAGTTGTATCAGCACCAACGGATTGATTGGTGACGAAATCTCAGCATGGATCCAAAACGCTCGAGCTGCTTTCGCTAACTTACACCATCTCTGGCGTAGGCGTGACATCGGGCTATCAACCAAGGGACGTGTGTACTGCTCATCAGTTCGCTCCGTCCTTCTCTATGGTTCTAAAACATGGCCAATACGAGTTGAAGACATGAAAAGGTTGACTGTTTTTGATCATAGATGTCTACGATCTCTTTCTCACGTTAGGTGGCATAATAAGGTAAGTAATGTTGACGTTAGGCGTAGAGTGTTGGGCAAAGAGGGAGAATCAATCGAAGAGACTATAAAGTTACATAGATTGAGATGGCTAGGTCACGTGCTGCGCATGCCTAACCATCGCCTCCCCAGACGGACGGTTATTACTAGCTGATATAAGTGCAGGTTGGAAAAGAGTAAGTGGTGGCCAAACAAAAACATGGCCTCATCAATCCATGGAATGCCTGACAGTTAAACTGAGTCAGGTAGGGAGATGCAGACTTCCGGGTTGGGGCCCTCGGGACTCTAAGAATCAATGGCTGGAGACAATAGGCGACATGGCTGAAAATCGTTGTGAATGGCGCAGATGTATTCAGTCTCTTTAATCTTTCATATTCCTTTCTACCATTACTCATTCTGTTTCACTCTTATACTTGTCAAAACTGTATTGATTCTCTTCACTCATTTTCTTGTCTATCTTTGTGTGCTATTTGGAACGTGGCAACTCGAACTGCTGCACTTCGGTGCCAAGTTCTATGTTGAACCCAGACAGAGAGACAGCTTGTAGACCATTCAGCCATTGGGATCCGACCCAATTCAATGGCCAACCCATGAATTATAACTTCCCAAACTAAGACGGAGGAAACAGCTAGCTGTCCAGTACTCTGGTGCTGGTTTTCGATGGTTCTCTAACTGATATCAATCCGTGGTCAAACTATTATTATCTACCTAGTTTTACTGGCTTACTCTTTAGATCTTCCTAAGGTCATTATTCACGGGTGTCTAACAAGTTTAACTTCGTCCCAATTCCATTCCATTAAGTCATTATTTTCTTTTTCATATTTTAAAAATAGCAGAAAGATGGCAGTTTCGCTGGTGATATTTGGGGTGAAATAGATACTCGTTTTGCATTCTGTGCTGTCGCCATATTACACATACTTGGTATGCTATCAAATGAGGTTATTGATATTGAAGCCTGTGCTACATACCTTGAACAATGTCAAAATTTAGACGGTTGTTTCGGTACTCAACCTGGGAGTGAATCACATGCTGGTCAAGCATATTGTGTTGTCGGTGCTTTAGCTATCCTACGTCGGCTGCGTCGACTGAATATAGATCGTGCTGCTTGGTGGTTAGCTGAACGTCAACTTCCTAGTGGAGGTTTGAATGGTAGACCTGAAAAGCAGCCTGATGTTTGTTATTCATGGTAAGTTCAGATTTTATTTTTTTCTAATTTTTCAAATGTTGACTAGCAGGTCTGTCTGTCTGCCTGTCTGTTTTCAACATAGAACTTTGCACCGATGTGCGGCAGTTCAAGTCGCCACACTCCATGTAGCACACAAAGCAAGATAAAAAAGTAGAAGAAATGCATAATATAGACAGTAGACAGGCATATGAGACAAAAGGAATAGTAATAACGAAGAATAATATAGTTTCATTGGAAATTATAAGTCACGAGGAGTGGATGCATCTGCACCAGCCATTGAGGAGAACGATTTTAAGCCAGCCATATCACCAATTGTCTCCAGCCTTCATTGGTTTTTACTGTCCTGAGGACTCCAACCAGGAAGCCAGTCTACACCTTCCTACGTGGCTTAGACAAACTATTGTAGATTTCATTGACTGGTCCCATGTTTTGGTTTGACCGCCGCTATCTCTTTTCCAGCCTGACTCTGTATCAGCTGACATTGCCCGTCGAGGAAGGCGATGACTAGGCATGTGCAACACATGTCCTAACCATCTCAGTCGATGTAATTTCACAGCCTCGTCAATTGATTTCCCGTCTACACTTATATATATATGTTTATATACATAGAATATTCTAGAATAGTAGTCGATAACAATATTAGTGTTTTTCAAATAATATCAATGAAATCATCAGCTGACATTGGTTAGAGGACCATTGAAAAACCTGGGAGTACTGGTAGAGTGCAGCAGGTTGAGTGTGAGGACAAATACTCGCCGAAGACATTGGCTAGCGGTCGCGCTATGTCGTGAATTGGCAGAAGTTAGAATTCGTGGGCCATTGGATTGGGTGCCAGTAGTCCAATAGTCTACGAGTTCGCCTTGTAACCAGAAGGTCCTGGGTTCGAGTCCCGGCGGTTGGTGCGTACCGCTGAAGAGTCCCAAACTAGTGGGACGAAACAGCTCTCCAGTACTCCCAGGTTTTCCAATGGTCCTCTAACCAATGTCAGCTCAAGATGAAATCCTGTAACCAATCAATCAAATCCCTACAAACCAACAATTGAAATTACAATTCATTAGAGATGCTTAAATTATAATAATAATAAAAATATAATTGCAGATAGAATATCAAATAAAATTGAGGAAATTTCTACAAAACGTTGAGGATCATTCAAACCTAGATGGTCAAGGTAAGTAAGGACAATGTCTGAACTAGCTTCTTTTGGACACATAAATTAGGCTTGTTAATGTGGATCTCAACGGTCCCAGCAATATTTAGTAGTCGAACTCTTAAGGTGAAATTGAGATTAGTTGGTATGTGGTAAATGACTTTGAAAGCCTGGTCAACATCAATCTTGTGTTCTATATCCACAAGATGAAGTAGAATAGCGCTACGAATAGATTTTGTTTGTCCTTTACTTGACCACTATGCAGGGTGATGTTCAGAAATGCGACGAGAAACACGCCTAATTGTACGGCCTATGGAACTAACTGGCTCTACAGGAGCACTAATAGTGTTATTGACTAATATTCTAGAATATTCTATATATATAAACATATACGTACATAATTGTAGAGCCAGAAGAGGAAATTCTCGAAAAGGATGTTCTTCTTTGCTCAATTATGTTGAGATATATATATATCAAAGAAACTTTTTCATTTTTAAAAATAAATGTTTTACAATCTTATTTTTTTTTCTCTCTCTCCCTCTTAACTCTTTTATAGGTGGGCTGTAGCCACACTAACCATTCTTGGCCGGCTTACATGGATTAAACACGATGATTTGACTCGATTTATTTTAGCCTCACAAGATATTCAATCTGGTGGGATAGCTGATCGTCCAGGGAATATGCCTGATCCATTTCATACGCTATTCGGTCTAGCTGGTCTATCTCTACTGGCTCGTGTAGACGCGAACGCTATCGCTCTCCGCCTACAGAATAACCATCATCAGCATTCTTCATCACAAAATGGTGGACCAAATCATAATGATAATAATGGCGGTGAAATCGACGAAGAAGATCCAGCTATCATTGCCCTGAAAGTTGCTTATAATAAACTAAAGCCTATTCATCCGGTGTTATGTATGCCACAATATGTGATTGATCGATTGAAATTAAAATTTCAATTACTTTGAACGTTTAATTATTCAATGTGTACAAGTTTTAAGTATTAATTGAACACATTGAATAGTACTTTAAGCTATCATTATTATTTTAATATATTTGTAAATAATTTTAAAAGAAATAATCATCATAATAATAAGAAGAATCGTAATATTATTTCCATTTTGGATAATTAAATTGTACAGACGACTATATGCCATCATCATCATCATTATCATTGATTGTTTCGCTGACTGACGGAATGTCTTCTTGGAAGTATCTTTCTGTGTGGAACACATTCCTACAATAATTAATTAACTAACTTCACTGTGACCTGGTCGAAATAAATTTAATATTCTACCTCTTCGAAGCATATTATTTTTTTTCCTGTCGTTTGTACGCATTCTTGGTTATTTTGTTATGTAATTGATATTATTATTATTATTATTTTCATTAAACAATTTGTGACGAATGATAATGATAATTATTTTGCTTATTGACTTTTGATTCTGAATAATAATAATAATAATAATTTTCTTTATTATTGATATAAGAATAAAACTTGTGCACTCTGGTAGAGTATAACTCCATTATGGATAAAGTTTTATTTTGATGAAGTCTCACAGTGTTAAACAGTAATGTTTACTGATGACCAAGTTTCGAGCACAATTTATTGCCACTCATAATCATATCAAGGTTATCACACGACCTCCTAAATTCATTTAGTTCCATTTAGTTCCATTGTTTTTCACTTGATTTGATTGGTAGTATTATTTTCCATATTTCGGGTATGAGTGATGATTCATTCCTATTGCATGTGTTGGATGTAGATTATTCGATGAACAAGGATTCAGTAATCCACCAGTCTCTATCTCCACCTACCTAGATTACTTTTTAGAATTTTAACCCTCTCCCACCCTATTGTGTGTTTGTGTGTTAATGCATGCATTGCAATTGCCGAGGTTTCTTCTAAATTACTTATCTTCTCTGGGTCAACCATTCTTACCTTGGCTAAATTCTTATTTTCTGACAATCTGACTACCCCTGACCTACTAGTTTGACCAATGTAGTTGACTCAACTCACAGTCATTGCAGGGTATCTTGTAAATTATGTTATTTTGTCTAATTGGGTCAACATACAGGGTCCTTTAACCTACAGAGCTTGTCCTATCTGAGTGAGTTTGTAGGTTTGAATGCCACCCTAATTCCTGCTTTATTGAGAATCCTACGTAGGGTCTCAGATGTCCCCTTCTTATATGGTAAAACTACTGTAGATGACTTATATTCTCTCTTAATTATGTTATTATTACTTGTTTCACAATTATTTTCATTTTTATTTTGGCCTTTTCCAATCTTCCTAATGAATTTTATAGGATAGTTATTTAACACCAACGCCTCTTCTATCTGTTTTATTTCATCATTTAGGTCTTTCTTTTGTGCTACTTAGTGCCATTGCTCGGTTTGTTAAACACTTAACTAAGCCTGCCTTAGCAGTCAAAAGATGAAATGAATTAAAGTCTAAATATCTATTAGAATGCGTTGGTTTTATATAAACACTAGTGTGTAGTTTGCTTTCTTCTATTCGTTTTATTTTACAATCTAACATCATGGCTAATTCTCCTTGTTCATTTTCGGCTTCAAATGTGAATTTCATTCCCTCCACTAGTGAGTTTATGTGTGTCAAGAAGCTAGAGATATGTTCTGTTTTTAACACTGTGTGTGAAAATGTCATCCACATATCTCCACCATAATTTTGGAGTAGGATTAAACGTATTAAGAGCCATATTTTCCCAGCTTTCCATAAATATTAAAATTCTAAAAAGTATTCTAGGTAGGTGGTAAGAGAGGTTGATTATTGAATCCTTGTTCATCGAATCTACACCCAACACGTGCAATAGGAATGATTCATCACTCATACAGGAAATATGGAAAATATTACTACCAATCAAATCAAGTGAAAAACAATGGAACTATATAAAATAAATTTAGGAAGTCGTGTGTGAAACTTGGTCATCAGTAAACATTACTGTATAACACTGTGAGACTTTATCAAAACAAAATTTACCCATAATGGAATTTGCTTTATTCCAATACAGTACTTGTGATACAGAATGGAATTCTCAGCATTTTTACTACAGTATTGCATCCAGTTAGTACATTATCAATAAATAGAATTCTACATAGATTAAGGAAATCTCAGTTCATTATGACAACAACATATTGGCATGTCGGTAGAAAAGCCAAAATTGAACAGTGTTTGAAGGTGTTAGAAAAGTAGATGCTAGCATATTTACTGGCGTAAGCGAGAGAAAGAAACAAAGCAGCACATAACGGAAAAAAGAGAAAAAAAGAGTGAGGAAAGGAAAAGAAAGAAAGAAAAACGTTGTACCTGTAAATGATATGAGTTAGAAAGACGAGATCCAGTTTTACTACTGACTATTTAATCAGTTATAAGTCTCACGCCTAATGCTTTCTTTGTCGCACAGAACACGAGATAAGTAGGGTATGGTTGAGTTTTTGTACTTGCTGGTGCGAGCGTTTAGTTTTCTATATAGCCTCCTGGTTTTGCCTGATGAGATACAAGGGGAAAGTTGTAAAAATGAAGAGGGTGGTGTGAATTAGAGAGAATGGATTTAGCCCATTTTTCACATGATTCCATGTGCCTGCCTGTCGACCAGAATATTAACAAGCTGGTTAAGTGGCACATTGCTTACCCTGCTGACAACCTTTAACATCCTACATAATAAGATATAGTCTTTCTTCAGTAGCCCGGGAAAAACTAAGCAGGAACAATAGAGAATAACAGGCAGGATGCAAGAGTTAACGAATTGTAGGAGTAAGGGTTGGGTTATACCAGAATGTTTTAACTCCTTGATGTAGAAGGTAAGACGGAATATTTTCTTAGAAATCGCTAAGATATGAGACGACCAGGAAAGAACAGGAGATAGAATGACGCCAAGATGTCAGTGCCATCTATGTTGCACACCTTGTGAGTGCTAACCAGCTTGTTTAGGTCAGATTTATGCGTAAAGATGAAATTGACTGTTTGACATTTAGAGGGATTATAGGTTAAGACCGTTTTCCCCGGACCACTGGCTGATTTCTGATAAAAAGCCATTAAGTTTAGAGCAGTCACTTTGACATTTGACAGGCAAAAGATACAGTCAGGTCGTCAGCATATTTGACAAAATTAATGTCATTTGAAGATGGTAAGTCATGTAGAAAGAAAGAAAGAAAAGAGAATAAATGTTTTGCGAAGTTATTTGTTTTTTTGAAGAGTTGATTTGTAAAGGATTAGGTTTATTTTTAACCAAGTTTGACCACGGATTGACGTCTCAATAGACAGAACCATTGAAAACCAGCACCCAAAGTCTCTCTGTCTGTTTTTGACATAGAACTTTGCACATATGTGCGTCAGTTCAAGTCGCCACACTCCATGGAGCACACAAATGAAGAGAAGAAAGTAGGAGAAATGCATAATGTAGACAGTAAATAGAGATGTGAGACAAAGGAATAGTAATAATGAAGAACAAAGCAGTTTCATTGGTAATCATAAGTCACAAGGAGTGGATGCATCTGCACCAGCAATTGAGAACGATTTTGAGCCACGTCACCGATTGTCTCCAGCCTTCATTGGTTTTTACCGTCCCGAGGACCCCAACCAGTCAGGAAGTCTACACCTTCCTATGTGACTAGGTGGCTTAAACTAACTGTTGTGGATTTCATTGACTAGTGTCATGCTTTTGTTTGACCTCCGGTAGCTCTTTTCCAGCTCGACCCTATGTCAGCTAACATTGCCCGTCGAGGGAGGCGGTGACTAGGCATACGTAACACATGTCCTAACGATCTCAGTCGATGTATTTTCACAGCCTCGTCGATTGATTTCCCCTCCTTACCTAGCACCCGGAGTACTGGACAGCCAGCTAGCTGTTTCCTCCGTCCTAGTTTAGGAATCTAACTGAGATATCAATCCGTGGTCAAACTCGTAAAAACGAATCTAATCCTTACAAATCAACTCTTAAAAATTAATCTGATGCACCCTAGTGACTTGCTACAGGACTGAGTTTTTGGAGTTCCAGTGAGAAGTCGTGACCAGTGAGGTCCATCCAGTCAAGTGTGGGGATGGATTTCCCATCGATGACATTGGTTGGTGCCAGTCGCGCTAAACAAATCACGAATTGGTAGAAGTTAAAATTCATGGGTCGGCCATTGAATTGGGTCCCAGTGGCTGGATAAAAGACGAGCTTGCGTTGTAACCGGAATGTCCTGGGTTCGAAACCTGGCGGTGGCTGTGTGTTGCCGATGATTCCCAGACTAGGATGAAACAGCTGTCCAGTACTCCCTGTGGCTGGTTTTCAATGGTTCTCTCTAACTGATATCAATCCGTGGTCAAACTCGAAAAACAAAGTTATTTGTGATATCTCAAATATTATCTGAAGATATGCGGCTTCAGTATTGCATGTCCATTTCACTAAATCAAAGTTGGAGTCATATAGAAACTATATAGCGATAGGCGGCTATCATTGGCGAGAGCCAGCGAGAAGACTGTAGCTCATTTTTTGAACACATAAATGTTGACTACGATCACGCCCTGGTTCGTGCACGTTTATGCTTACGATTGGACAATGGACGTAAAAGAAACTGTTAGCGACGAAGTAGTTACGCGCTGCACTCCCCACCAACTTGATCAGTAGACTGAGTCCCTGTTTAAAGCAGAAATAGCGAAACGCGTATCTGAGGTCGACAACAAAACTCAGCCTGAGGAAGCGTGGCACAATATACAGTTAGCTAGCTGTAGACACAGCTGTAAAGGCTGTTGTAATAAAGTAAAACCAAAAGTTAGTAAAAGTCGGTGGATTTCTACTACCTCATCCGAACTGATTAAGGAAAGAAGAGAGATTCTAGCGAGCTTCAAATATAATGAGCAGCTTTCGCTGCTCAAACGCAAACTAACAAGAAATCTTCTTAACGACCGTGAACAGTGGTGGGCGTCAAAAACGAAAGAGATGGAAACGGCATTGGCAATAGATGGTAAAACCAGACAACTATTTAGGCCTTTCAGGGAAACAGGTAGCAAAGGCAAATGAAAAGTGAAACAATCTCTGAGGAAAATGGCACCTTAATTAGCTCCCAGGATAGACGACTGGAACGTTGGAAAGAACACCGAGGAGCAATTTAATTGGCCTACAGCTAGGCTGAACTTATCTAGCATCCAACACCTCCCTGAATGGGATATAGACACAGGTCCTCCGTCCCTAACTGAGGTCACTAAGGCTGTCACTAGTCTGAAACGAGGCAAAGCAGCAGGACCTGACAGAATGACTTTAGAGGTATTTAAGTACGGTGGAGACAGTTCACTGTCTGCGTTAACTAAGGTACTAAGTAGGGTCTGGGAATCAGAGGAAATCCCGTTGGGTTGGTATATATCACTGATTATCCCTATATACAAGGAGGGAGACAAGTCTTCCTGTGATAATCACAGGGGGATTAGCTTGAT